GCCTCATGCATACAAGGCAAGCACTCCAGCACTGAGCCACCTTCCCAACCTATCAGTCTTCGTTCTGACATTAATTGTAAGATGGAATTGAAAACTTAAAGAGGGTTTAGGTATGCAGTGATTCCTGAGTAAACAAGGCTGGTTGGCAGTACTATCCAAATGCTTAAAATCTACCACTAGAATGAAGTATTGCATTTTCTCATAATTGTTTTTCTTCCTAAAAGTTACAGAAGAATTGTCTTCTCTCCTTAACCAATTCCAGGATTCTTGTGGATGTTCCATTTGATAGGCAAGTATAAATAAAAGTTATTCTCTGATTGGGTATATTGGCCAACTAATCTGATCATTGTTGGCTCTTGATTATTTAGCAAGCTGTTTATGGCCATAGCACCTTGAAATGTGTCTAATCTTATTTAACAAGGGACTGCTAAAGTTGAGATAAAGTATTTGAGGAAAGGCTCTCTTGACCCTCTTCCATGGAGAGGTGATTAGAGGTACTCTAATTGTACATATTTTTCTCCCAAAGTGATTCTAGTATCAGGACATGGTTAAAAAAAATGGGCTCAGCTGGGCATTGGTTGCTTTCAGCTGGGCATTGGTTGCTTACACCTGTAATCCTAGCTATTCAGGAGGCTGAGGTTATCATGGTTCAAAGCCAGCCTGGGCAGAAAGTACATGAGCCTCTTGTTTTTTTTGTTGTTGGTTGTGGGGCTTGAACTCTGGGCCTGGCAGCTGTCCCTCAGCTCTTTAGCTCAAGGCAAACACTCTACCACCTGAGCTACAGCACTACTTCTGGTTTTCTGGAAGTTTATTGGAGATAAGAGTTTCACAGCCTTTCCTGGCTTTTCCTGCCTGGGATGGCTTTGAACCATGATCCTCAGATCTCAGCCCTCTGAGTAGCTAGGATTACAGGCACAAACCACCAATACCTGACGCTGTGAGACTCTTATCTCCAATAAAGCATTCAGGAAACCAGAAATAGTACTGTGGCCCAACTGGTAGAGAGCTGAAGAGTTGAGGGACAGGGACCAGGCCCAGAGTTCAAGCCCCAGGACTGACAAAAAAAAAAGAAAAAAATAATGGGCTCAAGCCAGGTGCTGGTGGCTCACGCCTGTAATCCTAGCTCCAAAAAGCTGATCATACTTAGATTCAGGTCCCATTATTTTTGTACATAGGCTTCCTTTTTTGAAAACCATGACTTTAAGAGAATTAGATATGATAATACGTATAAAATATCTGCAAGAGTGCTTAGTATATTAACTGCTCTAAGAGTTTTCCTCATTTAATCATTACTATTTAATAACAAATCAATGTAGATACTGTGTATTCCTCTTGAGGCTTTTGTAATCTTTCATAATCATGAGTTTTAAAACATAATAGTGCTTTAGTTCTAGAATCTCAGAAAATTGAAGAATTTGGAGCCAATGGTTCACACCTGTAATCCTAGCTACTGAGGAGGCTGAGAACTGAGGATCATGGTTCAAAGCCAGCCCAGGCAGAAAAGTCTGTGAGATTCCTATCTCCAATTACCCACTAGAAAACCAGAAGTGGCACTGTGGCTCAAGCGGTAGAGCACTCACCTTGAGCTGAAGAGCACAAGGAT